TATATGAACAATACAAACTGGATTTATTAGTTTTTTCTTCTTCTTTTGTTTTGAGTGAGGTCACAAAGGTGTGGGGTGGACATGGAAAGACTGGGAAGTGAATGTGATCAGGGAATATTATAAGAAATTTACAATAATCAATACATATTGGTTAAAATATTTATAATATTTATAAAAATAAAATATAATTACAACTATATAACATACAATATATTTATAATGTAAAAATATACTATGTAACATATATCTACATACTAATATTGTTTATTACATAAACTGCAAAATGATAAATATTGGATTGCCCCCACAGTGTCTGATACTGTCCCAGAGTTAATGGTGCTGAAATTTTCAGTTGCCTATCTGTATGTTTTTGTCTACATGTAGACAAACACACACACACACACACACACACACACACACACACACACACACTATTTAAATTATGTTACAGAAGTGATATTAGGTCCCATATTATTCTGTATGTATTTTTCCCACTGAACAACTTTATGGATATTCTCAAAGCAAGTAATAGAGTTGCCTTCAAACACCTACATATCATTTAGCACACTATTATTATAGTTATTTTCTTAGTGATGGCAATTGGAGTTGTACTTCAAATTTTCTAGTTTTCTATTCAATAACATTTACAGGGGAAACCATAATACATATATTTTTCCTACTTGTACAAGTATCTCTACACATGCTCTTGAAACCAAGATTAATGATCATAAATTGTGAGAATTAAAGGTTAATAAATAGTACCCAGTCACATTCATACTGACAAGCATCAAATTCCCACATTTACCAATAAGTCTGGATGCTGAAAACTTCCTAAACCTTCACCAACATTTTATATTAGTAGTGATAAGTATTTTTATCAGCTTTAAAGACAAAGATGTACCCCATTGTTCTGTTTTGCCTTCTTTAAAATCACTGTTACTCTGCTTTTAGAAAACATATCAATATCAAACTTCATCATGGATCTTAGTTTCTGCTCAACCCCAGTGTTGTGAAATATTAATTTAAGATAGATTACAGTCATTTATGCTGTGCAATATTTGTTTAATGGTGCAACGATGTGCTGCATTCTTTTATGTTGCATTTGTTTAACTCGGTGAAGCTCTGTTACTTGGCATGCCTAAAACATCTGATAGGTGCAATAAAAAGCTGAATGGCCAATAGCTAGGCAGGAGAGAGGATTAGGTAGGGCTGCCATGCAGAGAGAATAAATGGGAGGAGAAATCTAGGGAAGAAAAGAAATAGAAAAAGAACAAGAGAAAAAAAGAGGAGAGGAGGATGCCAGGGGCTAGCCACCCAGCCATATAACCAGCAACATGGTAAGAAGGAAAGAAAGTTATATCAAATAGAGAAAAATAAAAACCCAAAGGCAAAAGGTAGATGGGATAATTTAAGTTAAGAAAAGCTGGCTAGAAATAAATCAAATTAAGGCTGGGCATTCCAGATCTGGGGAGTTAAGAGAATGTGGTTCCTGGTTACCTCCCTCTGACCTGGCTTCAAGTTTTAGGCTTGGCTTTCACATTCCAAAAAGTGGACAGAGTCAGCCACCAAAGCTGCAGCAGAGGTCCTAGCAGCACCAGTTAGCAGTTTTTTTTCTCATGCAGCCCAAAACCAAAAAACAAAACATAAAAACCCAAACAAACAAACAAACAAACAAACAAAACCAAAACCATAGAGATACACAGTAAAGACAAATCCATATTGGGGGAAAAAAATCTAAACAGGTTACAGTGTGTTTAACAATGTATGTAGGCTTAAGAAAAAAGAGAAAGAATATAGACCATCATAGAAAAATAATAAAGTAAAGTCTTTAAAGAGAAAGTAGAGTAATAAAAAAGAATAAACCACATAGAGATGGGAAATACACAGTGAGTCTGGATTCTGAAGTTTTTGATTGCTGGTAAGCAAATGACAGCTGCTGACAGACATGAGACTGAAAGAGAAACTGCTGAAATAAATCAGCCTAGATATTTTAAGAATGCCTTAACTTTAAAATGGAACTCAAAAAATACATTGCTTTTGAGAAGAGGTTTTGCTTTTATGTTCATGAGAAAAGAGAGGTTGTGGATTCCTTCAGGGTTGATATGAATCAGGTTTGATGGGGAAATACCTTCTGAATCTCAACAGGTAATACCTATCAATGAAGGTTATAGCTGGTCTTCCCGGGACTTGGCCATTATCTCAATTTTCTCAGGGACCACTAAAGATTCCTTCACCCACAGACAACAATAAGCTGTCTAGAGAAGATGACACCCACATTAACAAGAGGTGGGATGGTGGTTGTTGTTTATTTGGTGGGTTATGGATGTTTGTTATCTTTCAGGGGAATATAGCAATATAGGATAAGAAAACAACTATTAATCTCAGATATTTTGCATTGGCATGGATTTTGGTATGTTGACACAAATTAAAAGTTATTTTTGTTATACTATATATATATGAGATTCTACTCATGTTTGGTGTATTGTGCTTATGTAGCTCATTAAAAATGAAATGTATAATTAAAAAATGAGGTTAGTAGTTAACATATAATAAACTTGTAGTCATATTAGGTATGTTTTCAAGGTTAAACAGGTTATCTCTATTTTGGATAGATGATTTTTAACACTTCAAAGACATATAGAACATGGCATTTAAGATGTTTAACCTAAGCTTTTTCATGACAATGAGGCACATCTG